CACTGCTGCTGGTGATGATGATGATGTTGATGAGGATGAAGAAGATGATGATGAAGACGATGATGAACATGTCATTCCAGACACCGGAGATGATCTAGATGGTGACGACGACGATGATGATGAAGATGACTTTACCATCAAGTTCCAGAAGCCATCAACCATCACCAAAGGTGTTTCCCTCGAGGAATCTGCATCCCAGGGGGAGCAAAGGCCAGGCAAATCGACTCCATCAGGGAACCAGGACCCCGTGTTGAAAGGCAAGGCGGTCGCTGAAGAAGGTAAGTTGAAGGTACTTTTCTTAAGCCCTCAACAAACCTTATTTGAAGACTCTACCTCTCAGGTAGTGATCACTTCAGAATATCAACTTCAWMTCCCTTCAACAACCTGCGGTCGACTGGAGTGGGTATCTGATCAACCCAGCTCTTTTGCTCCAACAGACCAGCAGATGTCTCAGCTAAAGGAGTCGCTCGACCAGACTAGAGTAAAAATTCCTCTTTGTACCTCTAGTGGTGGTGAGTTTGACTTCCTATCTGAAGCTGAAAGACTCGAGGCATTAAGGGCTGAAGAAGAGCTAGAGCTTCAAAAGAAGCAGACTGAAGACAGCTTAAAGCTGGCCAAGTCATTAGCTGCTAAAGTCCTTCCTAAGAAAAAGTCCAAGAGAACGGTGAATCCTGTCCAAGCCCAAGCTAAACTTCTTTCAATGGCAGAAGCTGAACGCAAGAAGAAGAAGAAGAAGCAGAAGCTAGAGGACAAGGAAAAGCAATGGAGTGAAGCAAAGCTGAAAAAGAGACTCAGTCCCCGCCCAATCATCAGCATCAGCATCAGCATCAGCATCAGCATCAGCGGACGATCTAAAGACGGTGGAATGCTGATCTCAATGCTCATCACCAGGGACAATCTTGATGCCGTTACCGAGTACCCTTCCTACCTTGGCTGCTATGGATACAACGAATGGACAGAGATCAAACAAGCCATTCAACAATCCAAGTTGAGACACAAGACCCTTATCGAGGACACCATCAACGAGCTCATCAAAAGGATGTCCAGGTATGTCAAGGTCCCTGACCGGCTAACTCTGAAGAAAGGTGGGAAGAAGAAACTAAAGCTCTCTGATCCTAATGATGGACCATTCCTAAGGAACGAACATGAAACAAGGTTCTCCTTAGATGAAGTCTTGAAGGGTCATATGAGTATAGACATTTCTATGTTGAATCTTGACTTACCAGATGAGGGTCCCTATACACCCAACTCTGTGCATTTTAAACCTGAGTTAGGAGTTATATTCCTTGACTATGAAGGTGAAGTCAGATTTCAGAGAATGTTAGAGCTACATCTATGTCCAATGGATCACTTGGTTTATCTCTTGCTCCGAATAGATGATAGCATGCCTGGAAAAGTCGTAGATCTGAAGATACGAAGGGAATTCCTACGTCGAAGAAACCTTGGTGAAGATGTACCTGATTACATAGATCTAAGTGTTCTAGAATAAGATTCTCTTTGTAACAACAATCCACTTTTCCTTGTAACTTCATGTACTATATCTCCTTTCAGTGATTATACTTATATTATGTAAGTTCTGGACATGTACTGTAATACTTGTAATATTTCTTATGATTAATAAAATGAGTATTCCATGTACTTCACTGAAAAAGATCCCTGAAAAAAGTAATAGGGACACAAGTCTATGAGTTCCGATGTTACTTTTTCCATTCAATGACAATCTATAAGTCAGCGAATAAGCTTTGAGTTTCAGTTTCTGTACTTGTAATTTTCTTATATACAACTTAAGAAAACTTCTCAAGCTGAGACTGACCAAACTGAAAAAGATCCCAAAATAGTAAAATGGGAATGTACTTTATATGTAACTTTTCCTTACTATTATTTGATAAGATAACCTTCTTTATGTTATCTTGTTATCATCAAATAGGAGAAGATTGTTAATCATCTCTCTCAGTGATTTGATTATAATCCTTTTTCTCTTTTCACGTTGTATTTGTGTTTCTGTATTTTCAGTTCCAGCGATATTCACTAAGTATGTTCAGTGATCGCTGAAGAACTTGCATTGTAAATCTATCAGAGACAGCAATACTTCAAGAAGATAACACTCACACCAAAGAACCTTCAGCAAACGTCGAAGACTGCAACTGAAGATTAGAGACCGGTGAGTACGTGATCTGAAATGGTATTCAGTGATTACAAGCCTGTCTATATATGTGTGACGACTGCTCTAGCTTCAGCGAATGATGATGAGACCTTCGGGTCATTCAAGCATTCAGCGATCAAAGGAAGCTTGCTTAGCACGATTGTTGTTGTCTTGTCCTTATGCACACAAAGGACAAACCCATACCCTTACAAAAGTTAGTACGGTACGGAGCCTATTAGTCGACACTTTGTCCACCAACTTTAGGTAAGAATGTCTGCTCTGAAATAGTGCTTTTGTACTATTCACTGTAGCGAAGGACAAGCCTTCCTCTTAAAGTTTGACACGCACTCTAAACCTACCATATTGCATTAAATGATCATTTAA